ATCAAAAATGAATTGATACAGTTGGGATTAATTGAAGGTTATGTGTGATGCTTCATACAAACACAGAATTTTAGAACAGTTACATCTGACTAAAATGTCTTTGGATGCATTAAAGAGTTTCTGCAATAGTTAGAGTTAATTGAAAAATTCAGTATATCCAAGAGTAATCCATATTGAATTACCTTAAAAAAATTAAAAAAAACATGAACAGGACAAGAAAAATGTCCAGATTTAGGACAAGCATACTGGAATTGTAAAAAGAAAAACTATTTCCAGTTTGTGTTCAAGCATAAAAAGAAAATAGAAAGGATAGAAAATTTAACCTCCATCAAGAAAATACAGCTGTATTTGCAATACAAATACATAAAGAGAAAAAATTAAATTTAATGATATAACTTTTCTTATGCAAGTAGATACTGCGAGTGATGTTACCTTAATCCCAATAAATTTCAGGGAACAAATGGGCAAACCCAAATTAAAGAAAAGTCAGCTTAAACTAAGACAGTTCGATGGCGCTTTCATCAAAATGTTAGGTTGTTTTGAAGGAACTTTTGAGACAAACACATATCTTAAAATTATTCCCATCATCGTAGTGAAATGTGAAAAAGTCATGAACTTGTGATAATAGATGTCTTGAAAGTGGATACAACCAAATTAATTAACAATGTGGAGTTGTAAAGTAATGACACAGGAATTTTAAAAGGATACAAAGTGAGTATTCAATTAAAAAAATAGTCAACCCTTTCACTTTGAGTCCTGCAGACTGCTCATTAACATGCTACCTTTAGTAGCCACTAAACTAAAAACAATGGTGGTGCAAAGAATTTTAGAGCATGTTCCCCCTGGTGGTATGAATTGGGCCACACCCATTGTTGTTTTATGAAAACTGGATGGAGATTTTAAGGATATGTGGGGACAAAAAATGCTCCAATTCATTCCCTATTCCTAACAGCAAAACTGCTATTTACAAGTTATCAGGAAGTTACTTTGCTAAAATTGACCTCAAATCTGCCTATAACCAGATACAAATTGATGAAAATTTAAAGAGGTCACTATGATAAACTCTGAGGAGCATTATCTATCATACAGAACACAGATTGAGGTTGAAAATTTTTATTATATCTGACCATAAACCTTTAGAGTTTATTTTTAACCACAGGAAGGAGTTACCTAAAGTTACATCTCCTAGAATTTTAAATGAGCCATAAAATTCATGGCCTTTGACTTCGACATCAAATATGTGAAAAGAAACACTGTTCAAATGTAGAAGCTCTATCAAGACTAAAGTTCAAAAATGAACCATTAAAAAGATCAGACAATTTAGTTGTTAAAATCTTCCACTGGATTGAGATAGATGTATACCCTTAAATCGTCTTGCATTTGAAACCTCACAGGATTTGTTATTAAGCAAGATTGTATAAAAAGAAGCAAATGGAATGATTGTTCTAGGGCAGAGAGACTTTATAAAGAGATAAGGCACCAGTTATCTATAGAAAAGGGTCTTATATGCAATGGAAATGTTTTAAGACTGCCAGAGAGATTAAGAAAAGATCTAATAAAAAGGGTATGAGATGATGTTCATTATGGAATAACAGTAACACTGAGGCAATTAAAATTGCAAGCATGGTGGCCTGGATATTTGTGTGATGTAGAGAAATACATACAAAAATGCCCAAAATGTAGGAAAATAAAAAAAAAAACTTTTGCCAAACCAAGATACACCCATGGTTTAAAGAAAAAGAGCTACAGGCCTGCATTCATATGGATTATGTGCATGTTAAAGGCCCCTGACTATTTTAGTAAACTCATTCTCTGGATGGCCTGAAGTGGTTAGAGTTCAGGATATGAAGGCAGCCATGGTAAAGCAAATATTACAAGTAATATTTTCCAGAAATGGGGTGCCAAAACATTAGTCTCTGACATTGCACCAGAATTTTTTGTGTTTGAGGTTAAAATAAATTGGATGCCTCACTTATAAAATACCACCATACCACCCACAGTCAAATTGAATTGTAGAAAGAATGGTGCAGACAATGAAAATGGGGTTGAAGGCATTTTGACCATCCAGAGACACCATAGATAGTTACCTACTGAGACTATTACTGGGTTATAGAACTATTCCACATGCTGGTAGAATGCAAAGTCTCTTTGCATTGATGGAAGGATAAATTAGATTGCCTATAACAATGTCCTGTTCAACAAATGAAAAAATATGGTACAAAAATGACAAAGAATCAAATCCTGAAAAAGATAACGTTATTGCACAAAAGTGATATAATATGTCTATAATAGCAACAAGTGGACAGAATTTATTGGCTCATTCTGATAAAATAAGACCTAGAATTGATGACAAAGAAGTCAAGATGGAAGAGGAGGAACCTGAAAGGGAGGAAAGCATGTGTGCTTCTGATGGAGAAAGTGAACATAGTAGTAAAGAAAATATCGAGGATAGTTTGCACAGATCCGGCATGGAGTTGTAAGATCAGAATGACAATGAATCTAGACTTAGACCCCCAATGAAAAGAACCAGGTAACCCCTTGAGAGAGGGAAAGATCTTGTACTATTGTTTGGAGAAGTCAGAGATCAACAGACATAAAATTTCTTCATTTCTGGGAGGTGTAGTGATATAGGCAAAATGAACTTGCTCTATTTTGCATAGAGTTGAATGAATACTAATTTGTCAGTCATCACTCAGTACGGAAGTGGAATTTCTATGTCAAATACTGGAAGACATCACAATACTTTTAGCATAAGAAATCTTTTTACTACTATAGAAATCTCTTTGGGTCTGTGGTCAGCCAGATTGTCACAGAAACCATTACTCAAAAAACCAAATAACATGTACAAATTTCAAACCAATCTTTTGAGAAAAAATAAAGCTGAAAGATAGGGCCTAAATTTAAATTTGAGAAGTATTTAATTATAGATCAATAGTTAGTCTGATAGATGTGTACTTAGTTTAATCTTCACTCATTGTATCAGAAAAAAACAATAAATTATTTTTTAATATAATTTTTATAATTATATTAAAAAATAATTTATTGTTTTTTCTGATACAATGAGTGACGATTAAACCATTAAATTAAATGACATCTGTAGAAAAAAAACTAAAGCAAATGTATCTTTGTGATAGCCAAGAGTATTTGTACATCTTTCTAGTGAGGTAATTTGGAACAAAACAATGAAATCAAGCATGACTGATCATATATGAAAGGGAAAAGATGGTCACTAACTCCTGTGGAATGAAATAAAAATAATAGAAAAGTTCACTGGAGAGCCAAACATCTTAAGGAATCAGTTCATATGCTCAGTTATGAGGGTCTCTTCAGATGCATAGATATAAATACCATATGGTATTAAAGAAATAGAAATGACAGCAAGGCTTCAACAACAGCAGTAAGAAAGGAGAATCTATGGTGAATGCAGTCAAGCCTGTTAGTCTGAGAAGATGCAATGAATCACTTACTTTGAGGTTAGCATTAGCTATGATTATGGGAGGCAAAAATAGTTATCTCAGACAATTAAAAAGGGCAGTTTCATTTTGGTGGTATTAAAATTAACAAGCCATTCCTTGCCACAGTTAACAACAGATTGTAGGTCATTTTTTGGATCAGCTGCCAATTTGGCCTTATCAAACTGATTAGACTTAATATTCTCTTAGGCTGTCCGCCCTTGCTGATGATGACGTTGCCTATCCTTCTCCATCTTCTATGGGCTGCCAAATGAGACAGCAGCCCGATCCGCGAACGACAATCTCTCGGGCACAGGTGGCAGGGAAACATGACCGGTGCGGAATCGGCAGGCTGCAGATGACGCTGGCGTCTAGCGAGCGCTTCTCGCCTCTCCTCCTCGAAGTGCGCCACTTCGGTGATGCCGAGAGGCTGCCAGCCGACCCTATCCACTGCAAGGTTCTCCAATTGTGTTGCAAGAAACAAGAACACGCTAGCCCCGAAACCGTTTCTTTGACCCCCCCCCCCCCAACGTGGGTGGCTGTCGGTTTCGAGCTCTCCATAGAATACAAGAGTTTCGAGCTCTCCATAGACATCCGCACAACGTGCCCAACCCAACGCAGAAGGCGCTGTCATATGATGGCCTCGATGCTGACGACTTGCGCACGTTAATGAATCTCGGTGTGTGTGTGTGGGGGGGGATTTTATCCCTCCGTGTAATGCGCAAGATTCGCTGAAAGCAGCGGATGTTGAATGTCTCAAGTAGTTTTATTTGTCGGCGATACAGGGTCCAGCATTCACAGCCGTAGAGCAGTGTTGGAATAACAACAGCTCGATAGACAGCGATTTTCGTAGTAAGTCGGAGGTTGCTACTAGAGAAAACCCGGAGGCGGAGACGTCCGAAGGAAGCGGAGGTGAGATTTATCTGCCGGAGAATGTCTTTTTCAATGTGTCCATTATCGGATATGACGCTGTAGATGAATGAGAATTAGACAACGAAACGTTGTCAATGTGCAGCCGAGTTGCTGGATCATGTCGTTTAAATGCTGTTTGAATGACCTCTGTTTTATTTCGGTTGATATCAAGACCAAGGCGAGAATAAGCCTGATACAATGAACTGCAGGGACTGTTGTAGTAAGAGTGCCTTATGAGAAACTATGGCAGCATTGTCGGCATATTGCAGTTCATAGACAGGAATGGTAGAGGTCAGAGTCTTAGCTTTGAGACGTCGGGCATTGAAGACTCTTCTATCAAAGCGATATCGGATACGTATTCCGTCGTTGGGTTCCATATGTAACCGAGAGAGAAGAGTCACAGCAACCAGATAGATGTTAAAGAGCAAAGGAACAAGAATATAGCCCAGTTTAACTCCCGTATGGACACTGAGCTGTTATGATGATTCCCCGACGGGTAGTTCAGCGAGCATATACTCGTGAAATTGGCGTAGAAGACTCAGAAAGGTCGACGGACAGCCAAATTTGCCAAGCAAAAGCCATAGAACCTCCTGATTGACCGCATCAAAGGCTTTATTTAGGTCAACGAAAGCAAAATTAATCTCTCTTTATTGCTCCCTTTTTTTTTCGAGTAGGGTTAGCGACGAATATCATGCCGAGGTTACTACGTTCAGGTCTGAAGGCACATTGAGATTCCGGCAGAGTTCGCTCAATCAGAAGGATGAGAAGACGGCGAAGCATAATACGCGCGAGAATCTTCCTGGCCACATCTAGGAGGGAAATGCCTCTGCTGTTGTCGCAGATGAAACGATCACCTTTCTTATAAATGCTTATGATATTCGCATGCTTCCAGCGCTTAGGAATCATTCTGCTTGTCCAGTACAGGTTAAAAAAGAAATGCAGATATGATGCAAGGTGCGGTCCACCATACTCATACACCTCTCCCGGAATATCGTCATCACCGAGGGACTTCTTGTTTCTTATGGATTTTATGGCGCTGTTAACTTCATCCAATGTCGGAACAGAGACTAGCTCAGGAAGGCCCGGGAGGGTCGGAAGTGTGTCTAAAGCTGAAGAATCAATCGGCATGTGTCTGTTCAAAAGTTCCATCCTGCTAGGATTTCTCCTTTTTCCTTGAGCAGAGTAGAGCATTCAGCGGAATGAACCAGGTGCTATGGCATTGCGAGAAGGATTAATGGAATCATAAAACTTGTAAGTTTTGTTTTCATCAGCAAAACGTTGAATTTCTTCAGAGCCACCAGTTGTTTTGAGCTTCCCGAAGCTTCTGGGCGTGAGTACGAGAGCGTGGATGTGTAAGATGAGCGTCGTGTGCTTGATTCTTGCCTTCAAAGGGGCTGGATAACTTCCACCGATTCAGTATCTATCTATATTTCTGAGATGAAGTATTATGTACACTATATTATTCGGACTCTTGTCCTCATCTTTGTCGCCATATTTATTACAACGTTCAGGTAGTTGGAATGTCGAACCTTTATTTCGCTCACTGGGGTAGACTGTTATGACTGTTCTAGTTCCACGTGCCATGTTTAATGGATGTCAGTTATCAGTTATCTCCTGTTAATTCCCCTCTCCAAGTTCTCCACTGCCTTAACCGGGTACTGAACTCACACTCTTTGGGTCCTGTCACTGGATCTAACGCCTTTATCCACAACTTTTCCATAAAAATGTAAATATGAATTAAATTTTAACAGAATTTAGTATTTTTGCATGAAAATACAAATATCAGAAACACTATCATAAAATTTGCTATCAAATGTAAATATCAACAGAATTTTCCTCTTATTTACCTACTTTTGCATAAAAATGTAAATATCAGTGATATTCTGCATAAATTTCAATACATTTCCATAAAAATGTAAATATGAGTTAAATTTTAACAGAATTTAGTATTTTTGTACAAAAATGAAAATAATGGAGAAAATTTCAATATATGTGCTACCTTATATCAAAATATAAATATCAACAGAATTTTCTACTTGTTTGCCAGTTTTTACATAAAAATATAAATATAGTTATTTCCATCAGATTTCTTAACTTTTGCATGAAAATGTAAATATCAGTGACACTTAGTACAAATTTGTACATTTTTCTATAAAAATGCAACTGTGAGCAATATTTTAGGTTATTTAAAAGTTTTAGCAATATTTTGAACATGTTTATTATCTTTTATATCAAAATATAAATATCAGCAATATTTCTCCATATGGACTAGTTTTTTGCATAAAAACACAAATATCATTAATATTTCCATCACATATGTTCTCTTTTGCATGGATATGTAAATATCATCAACATTTTGCATAAATTTCAAAACTTTTCCATAAAAATGTAAATATGAGTTAAATCTCAAATTTTCAAATTATGTATAAAACACTTTTTCTGCATAATGGCTATCTTTTACATTAAATGTAAATATCAACAGAATTTTCCACTTACTTGGCTGTTTTTGAATAAAAATGTAAATGTCATTATTTCCTTTCTTCAGATTTGTTGTCTTTTGCAGGAATTATGTAAATAACAGTGACATTTAGTAGAAATTTGTAAACTTTTCCATGAAAATGCAAATATGAGTAATAATTCATATTTCTACATATTTGATTATTTTAGCATAAAAATGAAAATATCATTATTATTTGCTTCACATATTTCCACTTTTACATGAAAATTTAAATATCAGCAACATTTTGCATAAATTTCAGCACTTTGTCATGAAGATATGACTTAATTTCATCAGAATTTAGTATATTTGCATAAAAATGAAAATATCGGAAAGATTTTCCGATATCTTTTATCTTTATCTTTTTCTTAAATCTTAATATCAGCAATATTTCTAGGTATTTTTGTATTTTAGCATAAAAATGAAAATATCATTATTTTAATCATACATATCCAATTTTGCATGAAAATCAGCAACACTTTGCATAAATTTCAACACTTTGTTATAAATATGTAAATATGAGTTAAATTTGAACAGAATTCGGTATCTTTGCATAAAAATGAAAATATCAGAAACATTTTCAACATAATTATTATCTTTTACATAAAATCTAAGTATCAACAGAATTTTCTACTTATTTACCTCTCTTTTCATGAAAATGTAATTTTTTCAGATTTGTTTACTTTTGCATGAAAATGAATATATTAGTGGCATTAAATTTGTACACTTATCCATAAAAGTGAAATTATGAGCAATATTTCTGCAGTTTTTATATTTCCGCATAAAATTAAATTATAAGTATTTTGAACATATTTGTTATCTTTTATATCAAAATGTAAATATCAATCTTTCTAAATATTTGACAATTTTAGCATAAAAATGAAAATATTATTTCTGTCATATAACACCTCATTTGCTGAATATGTAGCAGGAGCACCAGACCAACATGGATGAATTTTGGACTGGCAAGATTCAATTAATTCTGCTTCTTTTGGCTATTCTCTATTTTCCCTTTCCTTTTTTCAATGTTTGTGCCATTATGTTTTTTCACTCATTCTTTTGTATTTTCCTATTTTTGTATTTCCTGTTTCAAAGATTTTTTCACTTTTTTCTCTTTTTTTTCATATACTTCTGCTTTATTGTTTCTCAAATTTTTTCAACATTTTTACCATTTTCTTACTTTTTCACACATTTATGTTTTTTTGGCTTTTCTGACATTTTTGTCTTTTCTTTTATCAATATTTGTCTACTTTCTTCACTTTTTTCTGTGTTTTTGGTTTTTCTACATTTTGTCTTTCTGCCCTCTCTTGTCTTTTTTTACCATTTCTCCGTTTTTTTCTTTTTTGTTGTTTTTTTTTTCTTTGTTTGTTTTAGGTTTTTCTCAATTTTTGTACTTCCTTTTTCAATAGTTTTCTTTTTTGTCTTTTTCCATCCATCACGGCTCTTGTGGATTTTTTGTATTTTTATCTTTCTTTTGTCAACATTTTTACCTTTTCCTCTCTCTGTCCAATGGTTTCTACTGCTTTTGACTTTTCTGCATTTTTGACTTTCCTTTTTTAACATCTATTTTTGTTTTTTTCTCATGTTTTGTCTTTGTTTCAAAGCTATGATCTTTTGTGTCTTTTTGACTTCATTTTGGTTGTTCTGCCTATTCTTTTTCCTTTTTTAACGATTGTATAATTTTCTGTCATATTTAACCTATTTCTGCTTTTTGGGGTTTTCCAATATTTTTGTCTTTCCCTTTTCAGCGTTTCTACCTTTTTCTGTCATTTTCCACTCATTTCTCCTGTTTTGTTTTGTTTTTCTTTTTTATACATTATTCATCTTTTTTATCTTTTCTGCATTTTATGCCTTCCCTTTTTCAACTTTTGTGCCTTTTTTCAACTTATTATTGTGTTCTTTGGCTATTCTGAAATTTTTGAATTTGTACATCTTGCTGGTTTTCTTTATTTCAATTCTTTCTACTTTCTTTGGCAATTCTGCAATTTCCCTTTCCTTTTTCAATGTTTGCACCATTTTGCATCTTTTCATCCATTTCTATTCTTTTGTTTTGTTTCCCTGTTTTTGTATTATCTGTTTCAATGTTTTTGACGTTATTTGTATTTTTTCGCCCATTTCTGAGAACGTTTTGAGTTTTCTGCATTTTTTCTTTCGTATTTCAATGTTTGTGTCTTTCTCACTATTTTTTCATTCTGCTTTTCTTTTTCTATTCTGCCCATTTCTTCTTTCCTTGGCAATTCTACTTTTCTCAATGATTGTTCTATTATTTTTTGGCTATTTTTTATTTTCTCTTTTTTTTTTTTTTTGCATATCTCTCTTGATTTAGAAGTTTCTACTTTTTTTACTTTTTCAATGTTTTTATGGTTTTTGTCTTTTTCCACCTATTTCTGCTTTTTTTTCATTCTGTCTTTCTGTTCTCAATATTATTGCCCTTTTCTTTTCCCACATATTTATGAGTTTTTTACTTTTCTATATATTTCTCTTTACTTTTACCACATTTGTACCTTTTTCTCTATTTTTATACTCATTTCTTCTTGCTGTGATTTTTCTGCATTTTTGCCTTTCCTTTTTCAAGTTTTGTCTTTGTTCATGCCATTTTTAACCCGTTTTCGTTTTTTCTGTTTTTCTTACATTTTTTCGGTATTTCTGTCTTTTTTGTTTTTTTTTTTCACTCTTTTTCTTTTTAATACTCAATTTTTGTCCGTTTGTTTTTAACATTAATGCCTTTTTTCTGTTTTCCCTTTCAATGATTGTGCTTTTGATCTTTTTGGACTTTTCTGTATTTGTCTTTCCTTCCCCAACATTTGTGACTTTTTCTGGCTTTTAACATTTATTTCCACTTTCTTTCACTTTTCTTCATTTTTCTCTTTACTTTTTCAATGTTTCTACCTTTTTGTATCTTTTCTATTCAATTCATTTTTTTCGGTTTTCTCCATTCTGTCTTTCCTTTTACAATATTTTGCTTTTTGCTGTGTTTTTGATTTTCAGAATTTATTTTCTCTCATATTTCAAAATTTCTAATTTTTCTGTCTTTATACCACACATTCAAAAATTTCTTCCACTTATTTCTGCTTTCTTTTTGTCTTCTTCATATTTGTCATTCCTTTTCAAACATTTTCACTGTGTTCTACTTTTTTCTGTTCTTATTTTATTTTTCTCTATTTTTGTTTTCCTTTTCAACATTTGAGCTTTATTGACTTTTCCCACAGTTTTTATTCTTATTTGGCTTTTCTACATATTTGTCTTCATTTTTTCAACTGTTACACCTTTATCAGTTCATTTTTTCACTTTTCTGCTTTTTGTGTTTTTCCTTATTCAGCCTTTGTACCTTTTCTGTTTTCTGTCACTCATTTCTGCAGTTTTTTTGTTTTTTCAAATTTTGTCTTACCTTTTTCAGCATTGTTCTGTTTTTACCATTCATTTATGCTTTTTCTCTTATACATTAATGCATTTTTTGTCTTTATTTAACGTTCAGCCTCTTTCTGCTCGTACCACATATCTGCATTTTTGTTTTCTTTCATATTTTGTGTTCAATTTTTCTTTATTTATGCCTTTTGTGTCTTTCTTCCTCTGATTTCTACTTTCTTTGGTTTGCTCTGCATATTTGTCTTTCTTTTTTAAAATTTGTCTCATTTTATGACATATTTCACCTATTTTTCTTTTTTTATTGTTTTTTTTACAATTTGTTGTTTCTTTTTCATCTGTCCACATTTTGTGACATCTTCTAATATTTCTCTTATTTTAACTTTAATGATTGTTCAGATTTTTCTCAGTCACTTTTTAAAACTTTCCTTTTCAAATTTGTGTCCTATTTTCTAACTTTTTGCTTGTTTCTTCTTTCTTTTTACAATTCATTCTATTTCCTTGGCAATTCCTTATTCAACGTTTCCTTTTTCAACGTTTGTACTATATTACTCATTTCTGTTCTTTTTGTTGTTTTCCCATTTTTGTATTTCCTAATTCGACATTTTGGCCGTTTATTGCCTTTTTCTATTCATTTATGCTTTTTTGAGCTTTCTGTAATTTTATTTCATTTTTTTCAGTTTTGTTGTTCTCTGTATTTTTCAACATACTTCTGCTTTTTTCTTGTTTCACTATGTTTTGTTTTTCTTTTGAACATTTGTAACTTTTAAGAGCTTTCTCGGGCTTTTCCATATATTTCCATTTCCTTCTTTTTCATTTCTGCATTTATATAGGAATATATACAGAGATGAGATAAATATCTGCTATCTTTCACTCTCACTTTCACTTTCACTAGTTTCTTCTTTTGGGGCTTTTTGCATGTTTAGCTTTCCTTTATCAAGTATTTTGCCTTTTCCTGTCTCTTTACAATAATTTCTGCTGCTTTTGGATTTTTCTGCATATATGACATTTCTTTTTCAATGTTTCTGACTTTCATGTTTTTCCTGTAATTGCTTTTATTTGTGTTTTTGCATTTCTGTTTTTCATTCTCTAATGTTTGTGTCATTTTTTCTTTTACCATTTATTTCTGCTTTCTTTGGCTTTTCTGCATTTTCTCTTTCCATGTTTGCACCTTTTTGTGTCTTTTTCTATACATTTTTGCTTCTGTACTTTTCTGTAGTATCTTTTTTGCGCTTTTGTAATTTTTTTCAATATTGTCTGCTTTTTATTTTTTGTTTGTCCTGTTCAAACTATCTTGCCTTTTTCTGTCTTCCACTTGCTTTTTTTTTGTTTTCTGCATTTTTGCCTTTTTGTGCCTTTTCTCATTTTTGCATTTAGTTGTTCTGCATATTTGTCTTTCTTTTCTAATGTTTGTCTCTCTTTCTGTCATATTTCAATTTTCTTTTTGCTTCTTTTTTCAACTTTTGTGTTGTTTTTCGCTTTTGTCTACTTTCTTTGGTTTTTCTTCATTTTTCCCCATTTTCGGTGTTTTTGCACTTTTATGTCTTTTCTCACACATTTCTCCTGTTTTGTTTTTAGTGTTATCTCAGTTTCTATACTTCTTTTTTCAACATGAATTTTTTGTTTTTTCCATTCATTTTAGCTTTTGTATTTTGTTCCTTTTGTACCTTTTATGATCTTTTCTGCTTTTTTCGTTTTATCTACTTATCTATCTTACCTTTTTCTACATTTCTGTCTTTCCTCATCCACTGTTTGTTTTTTCCGTCTTTTACCATTTATTTCTGCTTTCTTTGGATTTTTTGCATTTTCTCTTTCCTTTTTCAATGTCTGTATTTTTCACTGTTGTCAGCTTTTTTCTTTATTCTGCATTTTATATCTATGTCTTTTTTCAATTTTTTTTCAATTTTTCGTTTCTTTGTTTTTTCACTGTTTCTGGTTTTTCTCTCTTTTTCAACTAGCTTTTCCCATTTTTTGGCTCTTCATTTTTCTCCTTCCTTTTTCAATATTAATGCTCTTTTCCACTCTTTTCTGCATATTTGCCTTGGGGGGGGTCATTTATTTCTCCTTTTTTTTGAGTTTTTCCTCAATGTTTGCCTTCCATTTTTCAACATTAGGTCCTTTTTATGTTTTTCCCACTCATTTATTCTTTTTTGGTTTTCAGTTTTGTTGTTCACTTTTCAACATTTGTTCCTTTTGGGATCTTTTTCTCCTCATTATTGTATATTTAGTGGGGTTGTTACTCAAATTTTACTAACCTTTCTCAAATTATTAACTTTCTCTGTATTTTTCTTTCATTATTCTTTGTCTCTCCTGTATTTCCTTTTAAATGTCTGTGCATTTTTCTGGCTCCATTTCTTCTTTTTTGGCAATTCTACATGTTTATTCTGTCTGTAAAGTTTTAGTCTCTTTCTGTCTTCTGTTATAATATTTAGGATTTTTTACATATTTCTCTTTTCTTTTTCATGTTCTTTTTCATGTTTGCATCTTTTTAAAGTAGTTTCTGTTATTTTTGTTGTTTCTACATTTTTTCTCTTTTGATGTCTGCCGATGTTTTTTATTTAAACATTTTTGCTTTTTTTGACTATTCTCCTTTTTCCTCTTTCTGTTTCGCTCTTTTTGCCGTTTTGTGTCTTTTTTTTTCACTGATTTCAGTTCTTTTGTTGTCTCCGTATTTGAATCTTTGCATTTCCAACATTTGAGCATTTTTCTATCTTTATCACATATTTATGCCATTTTTCATACATATATGCTTTTTGCGTTTTCTGCATATTTGTTTTTCTTTTTGCCAAGGAAAGGGTACAAACCCTTTTCGGTGTGTTTTCACTGAGCTTTGCTTTTCTTTTTTGTATTTTTTGTTTTGCCTTTCTTTATTGCACTTTTGAACTTTTTTCTGTCTCCCACAAATGTTTACTATTTTAGTTTTTCTCATGTTTTCTCTTTCATTTTCCCTAGTTACGCCTGTTTGTCATTTTGCAAACATTTCTGCTCTCTTTGGTTGTTCTGCATATTTTCATTTCTTTTTAATGATTGTCTCCTTTTCTGTCATATTTTACCTATTTCTACTTTTTGGTTTTCCTATATTTTTTCTTTCATTTTTCTGTTTTGACTTTTTCCGTGTCATTTTCTAATCATTTCTCCTGTTGTTTTTTTTTTTTTTTTCGTTATTCAACGTTTGTAGCTTCTTCTGCTTTTTTGTTTTAATCGTCTTGGTTGTTTTTATACATGCTCTTGAGAAGAGTGTATTTTTGAGCTCGACATTTTATGAAAAAAATTGTTAATTGTGTAAATCTTTTGGATTCATTTTGAGTTTATGGAAAAATATGTTTTCGTACTTACTGGCCAATGAGAGACTCAAGCCCTTGTGAAAATCTGGATAGAACCTTCTGTGATTTTTAAAAAATAAAAGAATGGTTAGCAGATAACTTGAGAAAGCACTTGTCGTAGAAGTTAGATAGGTGTGCTCTTTTATTTTCTGCCTTGTGCAATATTGCTTTCCCAAATATTGCTTTCTCTTTTTTTTTCATTTTCAGTTTGTTTTGCGCCTTTAGGGATAAGAGAAGCATGTGTTCTCTTTTCCCATTCTATCCCTACTAACTAAATTGCTGTGTTTGGCACAAATATTTAAGTTTTTTTAGGAAGTTAAAATTTTTATACAACTACGCCAAAAAAAGAAGAAAATTGAAGGAAACAAAACATTCTGACGATAATAACTACGACGAGGACACGTATAGAATTAATTAGTGTATAATGAGGTAAAAATACATTCCGGATGCTTATGTTTTAGATCAAACTATAACTGAAAATTGTTGAGAGAAAGAGAGGGGGAGAGAAGATATGAAAGGGCTGGTACTGGTCATTACTAAATGAGAAAACCAAAACAAGTTTATTTTATTTGAACTGCGTATGGATACCTCACTCATTTGATGATGAGCTTTTAAACAGATTTGCTAAAATTTTATTTCGATCTGTAGAGGATATAATCAGTATTTCTGGTTTCCTTTTTGGGGTTCTTTATGAACTCAAGTGAGTACAGAAAATCGAATAGTGCGACTAAACTCGAGTAGTGACCTTTCTTAAGAATTTGCAAGGCATCACTTGGCTGGCTGCTGCCTAGTTGCCTATAAAATACATTCCGAGATCAATATTGAACAATACGAGTTGGGACGGTTAAGTGCAGAGTGATGGATTATTTCTTTTCACAGTTTTGGATAATTAAATGAAGGTAACGAGAAGAGGCTGAAGATATACTGTAATCAGTTTTGGTAAGTGGTCTATTTTATGCCATACTTTTGTATATGAGATGAGATCCGCAGAAGAGTTGCTGGCCTGAAATATTAATAAAGGTCACTACCGGACTGATGTAAATATTTATGCGAGATTAGCCCTAAACTCGCATTGGGACTACAAACAATTCGCTCTGTAGAGTCTGCTTGTTCTTTGTCTAAAAGGGATTCCATGCTCTATTGATCTGAATGTTTGTTTTCTTCAGCAAGTCAGAGTAGTGGTGCAGTAAGAGAAAACTCTTTCATAGCAATGATATAATTTTAGTGCTGAGGTTTTGAAACTTGTACACAAAAAATGAATTTCAATTGAAAGAAATCATCTGACTAGATTTTCAGTAGCTCACTAAATCTCGCGTAATTAAAAACAGTTTAATTCCAAATATACCAATTTAGATAATTCGTTCTAAGTTTATATTGAAAGTACTTTCAAGTTGAAAAAGTCGTCAACTATCCAATCAAGCGAGTAGTAACTGTATAATTTTCGAGTAACTGATAATATAACTGCGATATTAATCGAATTTAACACTTTTAAATGGCATTTGACTGGAGAAGAGGGTGATAGTGATAAATTTGAAATTAGTCATATCTAAGCATAATAGACTATATTTGACAGCATAAGACAAGACAAACGACATATAACACTACAATAAAGCATAAATTTGGACACTATTTCGTAGGAAAATACAAGAAAAAATAAAATGGAGGGAAATAGATATTTGGACACTTGTAAAATATTTAATATTCTTCCGATGCTTGCATTTACTTTAAATTTGCACAAGTAAATTTATTTGTTTCTTATATTTATAAGATACTAACAATTAATAAAAAATATTTTCAAAGATCCAATCAGAACTCAGTATAAAAAAAAGAAAGTGCAAAATATATATATATATATATATATATATATATATATATATATATATATATATATATATATATATATATATATATATATAATACTTAGTTGCGCAACCCTGGTTTACAATTACCTCTTAGCTACGTTTTCGTAACCTCTGTTTTTCATAATATTCTTTTGAAATGTTCAATTTTTGTTTCCTCCGGCTAAAATGAATTTTTCAAAAAATTATTTATAATTATTTTTTATAATGCTTACAAGTTAATATTCGAGAATCCCGGTGTTTCTTTTTTTTCCGTAAAATACAGTATTTCAAACTATTCACATTCTTTTAATAACTGGTCTTCTATCTTTTTTTTTTAAATAATCTTACATTTCCTTTGAATTACCATTACATTCACGTTAACGTTTCTCAGCATTTTTAGGGCTGAATGAAAAGATTTCATGGGAGTAACATCACATGGGAAGTTTTTTTTTTATGTTGGTACACTTCTTCCATTTCAGGAAGATTTAACATCTTAGCAATGACCTTATAGATAAATACTTCATAATGTTATTTAACTATGTCATTCTTTTGTTTGTTTTTTTGCATTTCAGTATTACTCAATGATCTTGCCGATGTGACCTCCATCTTCTGGCTTTCTCCTTCTACATTTTTGATAGGAGTCATTCCCTTATTCAAATTTAAATTTAATTTAAATCAAAGGGAAAAAAAATTCAGTGGGGGTGCCCCCACCCCCAGGACCTCCTTTGATCAAAATGAAATATACTTATACAAATACCCTGGGTAATGTAGTTTCAGAATGTATGATTATGGGGGTCTGTCTCCAAAACCCTCTAAATAAAACAAACATACAAACAAAGGCTACAACTTTAAAGATTCGATGATGAGGGGTTCTGTGGATATTTTATTGTCGTAGAACTCGCCATGAGCTTGTTTAATCATTAACGGAAGAATTAAGATTCATCAGAAATTTAAAATAGGAAAACCGTGAAATTTTCGCGGGTTAAAATTACTACTACTACTACTAATAACAACAATAATAATAACACTACCTCTACTACTAATAATAGTGCGATTATATCCAGTATCAGAATTATGTTTTAACAACTAGAGTACGCTAGAGTAGGCTGACGTTGGGAAGGAAGGCGTGTAGCTGCTATTACTCCTCTAAAACTATGCGATATTTTTTTTTTGTAAATTTCAAAGCTATGTTGAGCCGACATGCACTGCGTATGATAAAGTACATATGGAGTGTGTCAGTAATTCAGTTAAATAAAGATATATAAGATAAATAAAAAATTTGTTTTCTAATTATTAATAATATTGAACAGTTTAACTTGGGTCAGCCAGTAACAACAATAATAATAATAATAGCATCTATCTATATCCAGATTATGCGCACAATGATCAGCCAATGTATAAATGAAACTTGTACAATTTTCATTTCCGAAACTTCTACTTATTTATTAAAGACACTTCAATTAATTGAATAACAATGCCGTTTACATAAAGAGTTAGAAAAGTCTCATATAAGTTTCACTTTCATGCATATCAAAATCTTATTTTGCATATCTTTCGCTTAGAAACTTTTGTCGCAAACTATTATTAAAGTATCAAATATTTTTAACATAAACTCTACTCCTTTAAAAAGCAGTGTTTGTAAAGTGTTTCCTAAAGTATCAGAAACATTTTTCCTGGATGAAGAAATAATTATTAAATTGTCCACAACTGGTAGTGAACTCCTTTAGAAAATTGTCTAAAAAGCCGCTACCAAGCCTTAGCAGAAAAGGAATCAAATAAAAACAATGGTTTTAAGTAGGTAAATAAAATTCTGCATTTTCTTTTTTGGTATTATTAATTTTATTTATGAACTAGTTCTCCTTGCCGTAACAAAATGAAGGCATTAAACAATTTTGAAATAACATTGTACTAATAAAATTAAGATGTGCAATGTTGTTTTTTTTCAATATTTCCTGAATAATAAATTAATCTCGTGATGAAAAAAATAAGTGAATATGCAATTTATTAAGTTTAACATAAGAATAAATTCTATTTCTACTAACTTAGGTCACCAGGCGTCACTGCTAGCTAGAAGACTACAATGCACATTGCTAATTATTATATGTGTGGATATTAAATAACATAAATACTGTATGAATTAAAATCTGTTGGAATATTTGAATGTTACCATTTAATTGGTATAATCAACCATATCAAAACAATCAATATCTTACCGCTTTATAACTTCTTC